CTAGTTTGGAATAAATGAATACTTTGTTTCATCTTTGAGCCTGGGTTTCTGTTTTCTGAGTCTTGTTGGGAGTATTACTTGTTTGTAAAGTGTCTTAAACAGCAAAATGTCTTTGATGGCTGAATGTCAGTGGGATAATAAAGAGGTTATACCAGAGCCAACTTTCTGATCACTATGATGAACTCTCTTTTTTATTCTTTATTTTTATCAGGATTTAAATTTCTTCATTTAATATTATCATGTCATTAATATTATTTATTTAAAAATTATGTCTTTTGGGCTGGGGATGTGGCTCAGGTGGTAGCGCGCCCGTCTGGCATGCGTGCGGCCCAGGTTCGATCCTCAGCACCACATACCAACAAAGATGTTGTGTCCGCCGAGAACTAGAAAATAAATATTAAAAAAAAAAAAATTTTCTCTCTCTCTCTCTCCTCTCTCGCTCTCTCTTTAAAAAAAAAAATTACGTCTTTTGTTCTTTTGAATTTAAACTAGTAAAAAATTTTCTATTTTGTCTTTACCTCAACTACTATATGTAAGTAAAACAATTATTTGATATAATAAGTGTTCAATAAGCAATTCCTTGAAGAAATATGTACTTAAACTAAATGGCAAATAAGCAGAAAGGTTTTAACTTAAACTCATTTAGTGTGTATGCAGTTTTTGTGATATATAACAATACAACATGATAGGATTATTCTGAAATTTTACCTTTAAAATTAGGTATAGTTTTAAAAGTTGAATTAGATGATCATATGTATAAAGTAAATAATATTCTCTACTATCTTAAAATTTAAGAGAATAAAATCAATAAAATAAAACTCAACTTTGAGTTTAAAATGTTAGTATAAGCTTTAAAATATCAGGGAAAAGCACAATGTTTTCCACTAGATGTTCTGAAAAATGTATGGCTTATCATTTATATTTACAATTTTTATAAAAATATGTAGAATAAAGCAGACACTCTGCTTTGGATGAGTAATGAGACACATTATAACCTAATAAAAAGCAGATTCCTTTAAAATATATTCTTTGATGAGTAGTATTTGACATGGCTAACAGTAGTTGGAGGTAGTTATTTTGTGGCCTACATTTGCAGTCACAGAGGACTTTTTATATTCAGCAACTTAATCCAGATTGTATTTTCTCCTAGGGTTAATAGAATTGTTTTTAAGGAGTAGTTTTAACATGGCCTTTTCTTGTTTCTTTATCACTTTGTGCTCTTTCTTCCGCACTGTTTTCATATCCCTGGTTAAAAGCTCCTGGGAGAAAAGCTGTAATACTAGAATGTTATGTTTTCACCTGGGTTGTTCTGTCACTGCTTGTTTAGAAATTGCTTTGTATTATAGAACAGGAAAAGATATAAAAATGGAAGAGTTGAGGCCTTCTATTTATTAATCCCAAATGAAGATAGTCATGCTAGGTTTCTGAGTGCATCTTGCTATTGCAACCAAAACTCATGCTATCAAGTGTCAATGCCAACTTCAAGAAACAAGAAGGAAAATCAGGTGAAGTTTTAAACTTTAAAGTATAATCTTTCCCTCTTTGCCAATATCTACATAATACAAAGAGATTAGTTGATTATAGATATAGATATAATATCCAAAAATAGTTGCATTTGCAGAATAATAAATCCCAAAGTTGCCTTTCTTCTAATCCCTGAGAACAGATTATGTTTTGTAAGATGGTAAGGAGAAATTAAGGCTGCTGGTAAAATTAAAATTAGCAATTAGTTTATGTTCACATAAAGAAACTATTCTTGATTGTAGGAGTGGTTTTAATGAAATCACAAGGGCCATTGTACATTAAAAGAGTATTCCAGGAGTGTCAGTTATGCAACATGTAGAAAAATATGCTCTTGAACCATTGTTCCCTTTACATATGGAAAATGGCAAAAGCCAAAGAATATGAGTCACCCCTAGAAGTTGGCAATTGCAAGAAAGATGAATTTTTTATACATCCTGCAGGAAGAAATGGAATAATACCAACAATTTATTTGAGCTCATCTTGGATTTTTGGCCTCTAAAACTATAAGATGGTAAATTTGTGTCATTTTAAACTCCTATATTTAGTTTATAGTATAGTACAAATATGCCATATGGAATTGTACAAATATCATTTAGCAATTGGAAACTAATGCAGGTACTTGATGACAGTCACAGATATTCCCATCCAAAGTTAACATCATTCTTAACACAGAACTTTAATGATTTTGAGACAGTACTAAATCTTTCTTCAAATTGAATCATGTAAAATATTTTTGAAGAAATGGAAAACATTGCAAAAATCATCAGACTCTAGAGATAGGTAAAAAGTTGAATTATTTTTCTTTATGAAATGCTTATTAAGTGAGCAAAATAAAATAAAAATGAAAACAAAATATAGAATGGGAAAATTATTTGTAATCCACATATTACAAAATAACTACTATTTAGAATACATAAAGAATTCTCAAAATTGAATAGAAAACATATTCAGTGTTAAAAAGGAGCATATGCTATGGTTAAAAATACATGTTTATATATATATATATATATATATATATATATAAATTTGTAATTACTATTGTGTCAATATGTTTGAAGCCTGAAAGTGCTTATTGGCACTCCTTATTCTCTCTTGTTTGTTTGTTCCTTTCCTTTTTTTATTTTTTATTTTTTTGACTAAGGATTGAACACAGGGGCATTTTTTCCAATGAGCAACATTCCCGGTTCAGTTCTTTTTATTTTGTTTAGATAAGATCTTACTAAGTTGCTGAGGCTGGCTTTGAATTTGTGATCTTCATGCCTCAGCCTCCTGAGTTTGTGGGATTACAGGCATTTACCACCATTCCAGCTTGACTGTCGTGGCTGCTGAGTGGAGGGGATAGTGCAGGTAGAGAGAGAGGAAACTATAGTGATAAAAATATTTTTAAATATTGGCCTTGGTGTGATGGTTTGGATATGTGGTGTAGCCCTGAAGCTCATGTGTGAGACAATGCAAGAAAGTTCAGAGAAGAAATGATTGGGGTTCTAAGAGCCTCAATTCAATCAAAGAATTAACCATCTGATGGGATGGAGTGGTAATTAAAGGCAGGTGGGATGTGGATGGAGTGTGGCTTTGGGATATATATTTATATCTGGAAAGTAGAGTCTCAACCTCTGCTTCTGATCATCATGTGAGCTGCTTCCCTTTGCCATACTCTTCTGGCATGATAGCCTGACTCTATATGGACTGAGACCTATGAAACCATGAACCATTAAATAAACTTTTCCTCCTTTGCAATTGTTCTGGTTGGGTCTTTTCATCACAGCCATGAAAAAGCTAACTAAAATACTTGGAAAACTTTGGAATAGAGAGAAGGGAGGCTGATCTTAATGGACTCAGAAGACTCACTGTAAGTGGGAGAAGTGGTTGAGTGAAAATCCACCAAAATCAGTTGGCCCATGGGCCAATAGTTTGGTGAAAAAGGAGGACACAGTCATGGGACCCACTCATCCGTACCAAGAGCCAAGGAGCAGAGACAGGAGATTGGGAATTCATACATCAAGTTACAATAAAAACGAAACAAAAACAAAAAAACTGTAGCCTATTATGACCTTGTTACCCAACTGAGAAGCAGTCTTTGGTGCTGAGGAACTTCTGGGAACTGCCATCTTTTCTCTATTTGTGATTTTTTATTTTATTTATTTTATTTCAGGAGAAGAAGGGTGTCCAAAGAAATGTTTCTAGAGAGAATGGGAAAATAGGATCAGTAGGGTTTCTTGGCATATGTGATGAACAAGAATTTCAAACATATTCAGCCAAAAGCATAACCAGAGGTTTAGGAAAATAGATGTATGTTCAAGGGAGAATAAGAGTAATCTGAAGAGAGAAACACCTTTGGGGCCAAAGCAAGGAATATGCCTTCAAGGGAGAATATGACGCATCTTGAGTGGGAGACACAGTTTTAGGATTCCCAACTCTTATTTTCAAAGAAACTTATTGAAAAGTAGGTATGAAAGATTATGTACGAATGATATTAGTTTTATATTGTGAAGACAGTGTCTGGTAAGTCTCAAGATCTTTAGGCTGGTGAGGTCTTTATCATCTGATCAGTAAATAACAGTGGAAAGTCTCAGAAAGTATAGGTTTCTAAAAATATAATATCTCTTAATTGATGTATTGTGGGTTTAATTAACACTGCACACCTAGAGTGACAGATTTTCCAGGAATTTGGGAGAAACTGACCTTGGAGAGAGCCTGGCTTAGGAAGTGACAGGCCTGGAAATATAAAACTTGTAAATCAAAATCATATTTTCTTGTCCTTCTTTATTTCTCCTTTCTGTCTATTTCTGTCTATTTCTTCTATCCTACTTCAGTTACTGACAGAAAGTTAAAGTAATACTACCCCCATATGTCTTTTGTCTTCTTTAACAGAAAGCAATTTTATTGGTTTGAACATCATCTGTAATAATTGCCATAATGTAATGTTTTTGTGGACCTAAATTGCCTCACAGGATACTAATCAAGGTTTCCTTTAAACCTTGATTCATATAAAAAATATTCTTCTGTATTCCCAGAGATCTGAAATAATATTTTCTGATTTTTTGATCATATCCATAGTCCTTTCATTTTTCAATTTTTTTTCTTTCCAATACAGTAACAACTATAAACTTTAGTTTCTATTAGGTTTCACTAGATTAGTTTTACATCGTTTTACTTCTCTATCATTTGTTTTATTTCAATTATTTTTTACAAATAAGCTTCTGATTTAAAATGAATCACATAAGCATAAAAGGTAGTACAGCAACTAAAGAGTCCCTTTCTCCAAAGATATCCAACTTCTAATCCCCCAAACTTGTAAATAGGTTACTTTATAGTAAAATGGACTTTACATATGTAACTAAGTTAAAGGTATTGTGTTAGGGAGATTATTTTGGATTGTTCATAAGAGCCCAGTGTGATCACAACCCTTTTATGATGAAAGCAGAAGACTTGATTCTAGAAGAATCTCAGAATAATTCAATGCAAAACAGAGTCAAGCAGCAATCACTGGGTTTTCAGATGAAGAAATTATGAGCCAACAATGCAAATGACATCTAGAAGTTGAAAAAAATCAAGGAAGCAGGTAGCCCTTTCTGAGACTCCAGAGATGTTAAGGTCTGTAGACAAGTCAAAATAACACCTGGTATTTTGCCAGAGAAATGTTAGAGTTCGTAAACAAGTCTGGATGGTGCCTGGCAAAATGCCAGAGGGAGTGGTTTGAGAAGTAACAAAAGCAAGCCATTAAGTGTGGAGATTCCTTATTGGTTGACTGATGTATCTAGTTTATGCTAATTAAGATAAGCTGTGCAAAATGTATAAATAGCTCTGTTGTTCTACAATAAACGGCTTCCATTCCTGCTGTATCAATCTACAGAAGTTATTCGTCACGCCCCGGTTATTTTGCTGCAGCCGGACTGCGGCACAGAGAGAACCATCCTAAGGCAAAACCTTAATTGTAACCCAGAGAGACCAATTTTGTCCTTCGATCTTTGTACCTGGAAGGTAATACTGTTTTGCATTGTTTTAAGGAAAATTTATGGTAACATTTCAGCTGGAAATGTTAAGTGGGGATTTTGATATGGAGTATATTTTAATAAAAAAAGTATACAAAATATAACTAATATGATTAATTCTTATTAATTCATCTTGTTTTAGTATATCTTCAAACTGTTTTGGAAAAATTATTTCTAGATAATTTAGCATAATTCTGTGACTTTTTAAGGTTTAATTATAAATTTTCCATATTAATTGCCTCTGAAGTTATTATTTTCATTTTTTTGAGTTGTCACACAATTTAAGTTAATAATTCAAGTGAATGTAGAGGTTATTCTAATGCATTAATGTATAACTTTTAGGAATACCTTGATCATTTTGAATGTGAGGTTCATTCATACCTTTCTTCTTTCAATATAAATTTTCCAAATAAGAAGATAGTTATTTGTTGATCATTTTGCTTCTTAAAATTCATGTTGATAATTTTGCTTATTCTTACATATATATAACTGACATGATTTCATTTTAATAAACTTAATCTAAACCAAAAGGTAAAGAAAATTGCAATATAAATAAAAGTTTTGTATACATTTGATATATCATTTGGTTCATCTATAAGATATTGAAGCTTTCTTTTACTTCCACAATCAACAGAATATGTGAGAACACATTTGTAATTGGAATGTTTTAATACATAGTTTATTTCACTTACAAAATATTGCTTTATTTGTATAGGCATGATATTATTTCTGATAAATATTTTAAATGTTATTTTATGATATTTCAAATGTTTAAGTTGCTTTCTAAATATAAATAATTAAATTTCATAAAAGGTCTATTGAAAAACTATATTATCAAAATTCTTAAATTTATTTTTTTAAATTTGAAATATAATAGATTAATATAAACAGTACACATCATAAGTGCACTTTAAGTATATTTTTGCAAAGTGAACTCATCCATGAAACTCTTAAATATCAAGATATAAAACATTATCTGAATTCCAAGAACATCATTTTCTTCCCTTTTAGTTATTAATGACAATAAAAATAATTAATATTCTGTCTTTTAATACCACAGTTTAGATTTTTTCTTTAAAATTTGTCATATGGATTTATATAGCCTATACTATGCTATATTTGACATATTTCTTGTAATATTATGTTGTCAAAATAGTCTATGTTGTTGCTTATAGCAGGAGTTTGTTTTCAGTTGGTTTTTTTTTTTTTTTGATTGATTAAGTTACATGGACATACTATGAGGTGATTGTTAATTATACTGTTGATTAATAGGATTTTATTCCTAGCTTAGAAATGTTACAAATAATATTGCTCTGAGCATCCATGAATATGACTTTTGAAATGATCTTGTTCATCCCTATATTAATCATTAGTAAGAAAATGTAATAGCATGTAATAATTTTCAATAGAATTTTCTATGGAGTAAGCTTATTATCAGGTTTGGTAGACAATAAAAGCAGTTTTCTTAAGTGTTTTAAACCCACCACCACTACATAAGATTCCTAGATTTTGGAGATTATTGCTGAATTTGATTTTGACATTTTCTTCAAATTTAGCAGTGTTATTTAATTGATATTATACAGCATTTGTTAGAGAACAATTTCCATGAAGTTGTAAAGATATTTTACACATACATGCAGGTATTAAACATATGCTTCAGGACTATCTTTCCTAGAATATCTGTACAAATACATAGCCAAGAAAACAGTGATAGGAAATCCTTCTGATGGAAATATATTTACTTTGCTGGACAAGTAAAGACAGCAGTTCCCTCTAGAGATATTTAAAAAAAAACCTCTCCCAAAAGAACCTAGATCATATTCAGGTTAATAAGCCTAGATATTTTTTCTATTCCCAGAAATATTTGCATATATCCCAGGATAATGAAAGCAATGTTCATCTCTGGTATGGGAGAGTGGAAAGAACAATTTTACAAAAAGCTCTTACAAAAGATCAGAGGCTCCAAGCTTAAATTTCCTATCTTGTAACAAACTACTGTCACATCATATTCAATTATCAACTGGAACTCATTACATTGCCATATAGTAGTTGGAACTCTAAAAATCAGTCAATAATTTTATTCTGATTTCAGTATTTGCTGAGTCATAAATTGTTTTTTTTCATTAACCTGAAAATCTTCTATTGTCTCTCTCTGTCCCTTCCTTTTCTCTTCACCCCTTCTCTCCCTTGCTTCCTCCCTCCTTTGGTGATTATCTGTGTATGTATTTCCTTTTCTATGGATCAAACTTCCTTGTTAGCTCTCAAATAAGATAAAATGCCCAACACTTCATAGGAATAAACACAAAGTTCCAGTCCATTATACTTCTCTTTGGTCCAGTTTAACGTGTGTTTATTTGCAGTGGTCTTTAGCCATGATTTCACCTTAACAGTGTGGGCTTATGTCCTACCTCACTGCTGTGCTGCTCTAAGCAGATCTATAGGGCTAGGATGTGACACAACTTTGAGGCACAGATATCCACAAGAGTGACATAGAAACCTAGGGCTGGTTCTGCTGTTGTGGTTCTTCTAAGAGACAGGCAGAAACCCATGGTACCCAACTGCAAGTAAGTGACTATGAAGGATAAACAAATCTAGTTTATTCCTCCTTGGTCTGGATAATTTATATTTTTCAAGAATTTTATATAGTATACCCAAATGCCAAAATTATTTGCAAAATGTGTTCAAAATAAACTGTTACAACTTTATATTATTTTTAAAGTCTGCAATAATGATTATTCATGTTGTCAATATTTCATTTGTCTTGAAATGGATAATAGTATAATATATGGACAAAAAGGTGCTTAATTCATCATCATGGCATTTCACATAATGCTAAGATGAAGAAACTTACTTGAACTACAGGAAATACAGTAATATGTTCATGCCATGAGTTTAATGTCAAGTGTCCATCAGTCAAAAACACAAGGCCAAATTGGAAAAAAATGAATAAACCCAAATAGTTAGAAATTATAGGACTGGGACACAGTTGATAAAAAGTCTGTGACATCTCTCCTTTTTGTACCTACTTACATACTTTTCTCTAATTGTGGAATTTTTGTTTTATGTTTCCATAATATTGAGCTCAGTAGGTTTAATATCTTAGTATATAATAGTTTTATCCGGTCACACATAGAATAAATTAAAAGCTGAGACTACCTTATGGCCTTTTTAAGCTGTCCTGTAGTAATGGACAGAATGATTTTGTTGCAATTACCAAAAGGAATTAGATAATTGTAATATATTAGGAACAAGGAAAACTGCAACACACAATACTCTTAGTACTATCATTGTTAATATTATTGGTCAATGGTAAAACAGGAATAGTAAAGAATGGCAGTTTTTCCTCTTAATTTCTCACAATTTTTCTTGTTATGTTATGGGAAAGCGAGGCTGTTTGCATGTTAACTTTTAAATGTGAGTCATGTTAGTTCCCAAAGTCTGCCACAGCAAAGCACTACAAACTTGGTGGCTTATAGCAATGTAAATTCATTTTCCCAGAGTCTTGAAGGTTAGACATCTAGAATCAAGGTGTGGCCAGGTCATGCTCCCTTCATATTCTAAGAGAAGATGACTCTGACTCTTCCAGTTTCTGGAAATCTAGAATGGTCTTTAAATTGTGGCAGATTAGCTCTAATGTTTGCCTCTGTCTTTAAGGAAAAATAGAATTTAAAAGTGTATTGTTTAATTACCCTGTTGCTATTACAGGAAGAGATCACTCCCATTCTTTTTTCTGTTTGCATAGGGAATCTTCTTTAGAAAACCTAAAACTGTAAATATTTTCCTCCACTTTGAAATATAAATACAAATTTTTGTAAAGTAGATAGACATTCTGTGAGCTTTAAAACCTAGGAATGTCTTCCTTAAAGACCAGGAATTCATCTCTTTGAAATGTCAACATCAAGGGGGATTTTATACCTTTTTACCTGTTGGTGTGGGAAAGTAGGAGCCTAATTTCAAAGAGAACCTTTTTTCAAGTTCCTAAACTATGTCCTGTCAGAAAGACATGAAAAGTGTGTTGTCCCCCTGGGTAAAGTCAATTCTCTAACAAAAAGTCACCTAAAAGTGAGGATGAACTATGTGTGAAAAATTGTAGTGTCAAGTGTTCTTATCTGAGACTAGTCATTGTTTCCTGATATCATGCACCTAGTAGGTTATATCTCTCTGTTTATATAAAAGGGTGGGGGTTCATTCTGTCCTTGCAGAATGATGCGCCTCACATTCTGCCTTAATGCTTGTGCAATAATAAATCTGTTTTCTTTCTCTGCTACCTTTATGGAGAGGATTTCTGTGTTTGAAGAAGATTTATCTTTAATTATATTACCCAAGCAGTCTTTACATGGCTAACTTCATTTTTTGTCTTCTCGTTGCAACCTTTGCGTGTTTGTCTGTGTCCACATTTCCCTTATAAGCCCATGAGTCATATTGGATCAGGAATATAATGATGTCATTTTAACTTGCTTATATTTCTATAAAGACCCTATTTCCAAATGAGGTAATATTCATAGGTACCAGGAGATAAAACATTCAATTATTTCAGGGGAAATAGGAAAACAGTACAACTTATATAGGAGTAGATGTGGATGGATGTCACTGCGCAGTGATGCAGTATCTGATGACTCTGTCTTTGGGATTTGCAGAAAAAACATTTGTCATCTAAACACAAATGAAGAATGAATGCCATGAGATAAATGGATACATTTTTCTAGATCTGCTCCCTGTATGACTCTGTGTCTTTGATGTTTGATCAATTCATAATTGTGCTATCAGGAAATCACATGTCTTGTGTCTTATAGTTAGTTTCAAATGGAAACAGGTAATAAAACTGAGGTATCATGATAAAACTTCTAATCATAACTTTTGCCAGGACTTGTTTTATATATATATATTCCATCAATTCTAAGCATTCAAAAAAGTTTCCCATTGCTGTTTCATGCAGAGTTCTTTAGCATATATTTTTAGCTTTCCTTCACTGTTTCTACAATTCTAATA